TATTTGGACAGATTTTATATATAACTTTTCCAACGTATTCATTGAATAAATGTCTACAACTGATTAACTTTTGGATTCAACCTGATTCAAGATGGTCGCCACAATTAGGCAACCTCAAAAAACATATAAATTGCTATAATTCAGTCAGTTTTACAGATTGTGAGGCAAACTTTGGTGTGGTAGAAGCTACAAGTCATCCCCAACACAAACTTTAAGTGTTAACARATCATACAAGACTGTTGTTCCAAACCTTGACATTAACTACGTGAGTCAACCATGTTGGTCTGTTAGCAAAATACCTTATGAACCACTGAATATATTTTAATGGAAATCTCAGAAAGTAAGTAATAAAGGTACATCTATAACTGATTAACTTAGGGAGTCAACCTTGATCAAGATGGTTGTTACAGCTAATCARTCTTAGCCAACACAKAAATGGCTATAACTGAGACAGTTTTACAGGTATTAAAATAAAATTTGGTTTAGTAGTAGCTGAGCCATTTTTATTGTATACTCAAAGAGCTAACAGATYACTGAAGATCTTTGGCAAAAATGTTGGAATGCAATGCAGAAGGCAGTGTGCATTCGTTTAATGAACGCTACCTTTTCCCTACTATTTTCATAATGTTCTCAGAATGTGGAGTATGATCAGTGTGCACATTTGCATATATAACACCTAATAAAGTCCTACAGGCCCACATARTTTCACTGCTGTGGGATTCTGGGGCAGCACATGCTGTGCTTCTTTACCCTTCTGTCAGCACACACTTCACACTACATTTCCCTTCTGCAGCATTCCACATCGCCTCTCACCAGGAGGCAGAGGGCAATGCAGAAAAAAAAAAACTAACACGAAGAGAGAACTTGTGAGTGTCTGCTTTTCCAACCACCCCTTCCAGCACAGAGTTTGTTCTTTTGAAGCTGAGAAAAACATGAAATAAAATAATAAAAAAATAAAWAAATAACTACCTGGAATCCTCTCTGGTCCCTCGGAGAAGACGAGCTCAACTTTTCCATAGTCTGGAAATCTGGGATCTGAAGTGATACAGAAGTGGTATAAATGCAAACCACTCAGAATCAGAAAAACTAATAATTCTAGAGTTTCTCTTGGTATATGTAACATGTTTAGGAAAACAAGATTACCGGGCTAAAAGTGCCAAAGATWCGTGCAGATGTTATTTGGAGTTGAAGATCTGCTGCTTATTGATGGCAGCAAGTTCAGGCCTGCTCTCAAGAGGGGTTTTTTTTTGTTTTTCTTTTTTTTTTCCAGACATACCTTTGTTAGCATTCTCCATGTCTTCTTTTTCAAACATCAGGTTGTAACCCTGCACTGCTCCCGTGTGGAACTGCAGCCGGAAAATAACCTCCCGCTCTGRATTGACGTCATTTTTATGATAGCATTTAATCTGCAAAGGAGTGGGAAAGAAAACACAAAAACACTGCGGTTACCCAAGCCAGTGTTGATCTCTTGGGGGGAAAAAAAATAAAAAATAAAAATAAAAACAGATCTTGTTTATCTCTCCTACCATGATGTCCCCTTTCAGGAGCTGGGCCGGCTCCAGATTGATGCAGACTCGGTCTCTGTGGCCTGCGCCGATGTGGCTAAAGCACAAACAACAGAACGGACGGTCGAGAGGAGCCAGAGYGTGGAAGCAATTACAGACGATTTACACGCAGCAGTTAGTCAGAATTCAAATTAACACGAAGTTAATTTCATCAGAAAYGAAACTTTCAAGTGTTACGGCGCCCTTTGAAGTTCCCAATATTGTTCAAATTACTGCAAACCACATGCTACTTACTAGACTCCAGATGAGTACACTGCTTGCATTCCTTGGTAGACCTTGATGTATGGGCGACACACTAACAAGAGAGAGGGGGAAAAAACAAGTCTGAATGACCTCAAGAATATTCTGCTAAGCGCTGAAGTGTGATAAGCTGCTGTTGTGAGAAAGGGATTTTGGCTCAGTGATGTGATGGCAGCTTGTGTTGATTCAATGAAATGAGTGTAAACAGCAATTTTCATGCAGACACATTAAACCCTCCCTGGTCCTGCTTGAGTTACTTCTCTTTTTTTTCTTTGTTTTTTGTTTTTTTACACAAACTGCATTTGCCTGAGCATACAAAAGTTCATTTAAGGCTTTTACTCTGATGTGGTTAGTGCTTTAACCATCTTTTTTTTTAATTGTCCCTGGCAGCTGTGTATTGTGGGATATATTAGGAGTTGAACCTCTGGTGGCGGCATCAAAGTTTGGTAAACCATGAAGGATGATGCAGTGCAGGAATAAGGGGGAGGCATTGATCTTCATGGATCCACTTAGTAAACTGTTGAGGATCCAAACATACCTGAAAGAGGAACAGACAGATGTTTAAGTACCAAACACWGAACGAAAGCTGATTTCTAGTATCTTATTTAGTCTTAATTATTTAGAGAGGTGGATCAGAAACCTTTGTGCTGTTAATGCTCGTGCTTTTCATACTGCTTTGAACCTCAGCAGTGGATTCAGCAGAAGGAACCAGCTCTTCCTCCCCTCAGCTCCATCTTTACTATTAAACTTTCTCTAAGTAAAAACATCAGGTTTCACACACTGAACTGTCCACAACACCTGAAGACAGTTTTTACTCTTTATTGTTTCAGATAGTTTACATTAAAAGCAATAAAATTAATTTAAAATAAAAAATTCTCAGAAAAACTCTGTTCTAATTCAGCAATCTGTTTTTGTTTACTTATCCTTTTAGCTTTCAGCAACTGTTTTTTTTCCCTACTGTTTAGCTCATGTAAGCTTTCAGCTAATGTTTTGCTATTTTTAGCTTTTAGATACTGTTTAGCCATTTTAGGTTTCAGCTACTGTTCTTGTAACTTTTAGTTCTTTTTGTGCTCATTTAAATTTAAGCTGTTCTGTTGCACTTTTGAGCATTTAGTTACTATTCTGCTAATTTTAGCTACTGTTATTCTGGTTTTAGACTTTAGCTACTGTTTTGCTAATAGTAGTTTTTAGGTTTGATTTGGCTCATTTTAACTTTTTGTTATCATGTTTGCTAACTTTAGCTTTTAGCTACTTTTTCGCTTGCTGTAGCTTTTGTCTTCTGTTTGTTTTATGATTTAGCTACTCATTTTAGCTTTTACCAGCTGTTTTATCATGTTAACTCTAAACATGGAAAAAAAACAATATCTGAGTAATTTGACATCAGTTGGATGTGTTTATTTGACTGTGGTTAATTTTGTAAAGATGTGGGTTTAAATGCTTTATATAAGGCTTTAAAAAGTCTGATCTAAGACATTGTTTTAAGATTCTATTAGYTGCATGCTCATTTAATTTTAAGAGACTAAAACTGATATTCTGTGAATGTATAATTGTGTATTGCTTAATAATAATAATAATAATAATAATAATAATAATAATAAATTAAAGGAATAGCATTCCTTAAAATAAAGCTTACTGAATGCTGCTTTTCATAAAAAAAGGTGTCTGACTTCCTAATGTTGACAAGTGACAGAGTTGTAGCAATTTTTGTTGAGCCTAACTCAATCCCAAAATATTGCAAGAGGTCACGGTTATAGTATACTGTGTAAATGAAACTTTGCTACTAGTACATTAAATTTACCTCAATATCAGTTATATTGACTGAGCTATAGCTAGTTTTGTGCCAAACGTTTGTTAGCTGTGCCTGCCATCTTGAAYTGGATTGACTCCAAAAGTTAATCGGTTGTAGACACGCATCAGTGATAGTTTCCTGAAAAGTTTCATTAAAATATGCACGTTGTTTGAGAAGATAATTTGCTAACAGATAAGCTGACACAAACAGTTCATGCTGAAGTTTTAAGCAATAATCTCACGCATTGATGAGTACTTGAAGAATGTGCTGTGAACGACCCTCAGATATAACTGTAAATCTGAGCAGAGTATCTGTAAAAGTGATTGAATTGTTGCCATTTTTGAGTTTTCAAATGCCAGCTGGGTGAGACGGCCATCACTGGATTGACTCCAAAATATAATCAGATGTAAAGGTGCATTTCATRACTATTTCCTGAAAACAAAAACATTAATTTCCAGCCAGTGATTTTGCCATCGTCTATGCACAAAATGCAGGTTTATGACTCGTCACTGAATATTCCTCACTATCATCGACAGTTCATGATCACATCTCTTTAGCTCAGCGTATTCTTGTTTTCAAAGTAGAAAATTCAAATGAAAGTGGAAAATATCCGACATGTTCTGAAACAACTTGTTCAAATCTCTCAGTGCCAAATAAAACCAAGGCAGCAGTGTTGGAGCTTACCAGCATGAAGTGCATTACAGTGGTTGAGACTTGCAAAACAGTAAATGGACTGGATTTCTACAGTATCCATTAACTTTTGTTTGGTTTTACTCATTAGCACCTTGGTGATGATGGAGATGAATGAACTCAGAGGAAGCGCAAACACCTCCAAACTGAAAGCATTAGCTGCAGCAGTTGCAGTACACCCTTTAAATATTTACAGTTTATTTTTCACTAATGTTTATTAAAAGTAAAACAGAGAACAAAAGTTAATCCCCAGTTTCGAGCAGGGGATCTTTTAATTGTAAGGCGAGTGTGGTAACCACCACACTATAGAAACTGATCCAACCATAAGACTTTACGAAGATCAGATCATCATTAGACATCTGATTTCAAGGTTTTGTTCTGTATAATACAACTAGTTCGCATTAAAAAATATCCAAAATTTATAGGTTTTTTTTAAATTATTATTTGTATTTGATGTTGCAACAGTTTTCCCATTCTTTTCGACTTTGTTGCAAAGTGAAAACAAACTTTGCCCAGACCTTTACACATCAGTAATTATTGTCATCAGCAGGGATTTTTTTTATAAACAGAAAGGCAAGACAGCTTGGAGTAACCACTTCTGCCCATTATTATGATGAATCACACAGGGTTAGAATTACAMCAATCCTCATTTAAACTGCAAACAATGGCTGATTTTTAGCTGAAATAATAATAATAAAAAAATACACACATTGAGGACAGGGATGCTGAATGTTTTCTACTGAATGGGGTGTCAGCAAACTGTATGTGCCTGGGTGGAAGGGAGCGTTTCTGTTTTGGGTCTCACCGTTTCTGCGAAGGTGTCATCAGAGCTGAGACCTTATCATCGTAGTACTTCCTCATGGCGAAGCGGTCCAACGCCTGATCAGCACTTTGAGGGAGACAGAAAGACGCGCTAAGCACTTGAGGTAATTATGACTCATGGCAGAGATTACACTCTGAACTATAATTGACAAACTTTAACGTACATACTCTCACACACCCACACACACACACACACACACACATACACATGCATCCAGACAAAAGGGAAAGTCATCAGAGAGAGACAGAGGATTCCAACAGGGAGGAAGAGAATGCCAGCCTTAAGTAAACACAGAGGGGACAGAGAGAGGCCGGAGTGTGTGCACAGCTTGGCCATTCAGACAGCCCTTAAACCAACAGACTCTGGAGCTCCACTTCCCTCTCATCTGCCCTGTCTCCTCCGCTCCCCGCTAAAGCTGCTCCCTTTGCAAATCTGCCTTATTGTTTTCCCATCATTTCCTGTTTTCTCTCATTTTACACCGCCTTTCACATTTACCCCAGAGAGCTGGTCCTCCACCGTTGGACACAGGCAATGAAACTGATTAAATCAAAGGCGGATACATGGAGGCCTGGCCGCACACCAGAATGTGTAAATCTCAGCACTCGCTACCTCTCTTTAGTTTTACAGCTCCCTGAAGTGACAGGACTTTTGGATAAAGAAAAAAAAAACCTAATGTGGTTTTTGTAGCTTGACACTGCTGAGCCGGAGGACATGACAGTAACAAACACACTTCCATGTTGATTCATGCAATTCAATACGCAGTGATTCAAAGCTTCAGTCACTTTGCTCTGGTTTAAAATCTGAAAGAGGAAACATTTTGTCTTTGACTCACCATTTATGAATCACCTTTACCCCAGATTACAGGAGGAAAATAGATCAAGTGTGGTTGAGCAGTGGCATTGCTTATGGTCTACAAAATAAGCCATTATGAACTGTTGTGGCTTGCTGTTGGTGTTTTCCACTGAAAACAGTGAGCAGGTGCTCCATCATTATGATGTATCCTGACATGAGTTATGATGAAAGTAGCATTCCTCGAAGGAATGCATTTTAAACTTGTCTGCCAATGTTTAAACAGAGAATAAAATGTGCTGGGGGTGAGACTTGGCTACTTGCACACCAAATTTTAGCTCAATATCTGTAAAAAWGACTGAGTTAAAACCAATTTTAGGYTTGAYAATGTTGACTTTCTGTGGTRGCCACCTTGAATCTGACTGACGCCAAAAGGATGATTACTTAAGGACAGTTCATGAGATATTTTGCTAACAGACACAGGCAATAACGATTCCCTGCCCATCAAGGATGTGGACAATAAAGAGGCTTAAACCATAAAAGAACATGCAGATTGTAACACATGGTTGTTATTACCTGGCTGATACATCAGTGAAATGTACAAACGATGAAATGACAACACCGATTCGACCTTTGCCACCCTAAAAAGAAAAACACAATGCGTGACACATACAGAACAGTCTCAAAAGGTCTATACATTGCTGCAATTACACTGCTTTGGTGGTATGTTCATACTCTTCACTAACCAGAAGTCAGCAAAAATTCAGTTTGATTCGGACTGAAAAAAATAAAAATTTGGAAAGGAYATTTTCTCAATATTTACGATGYGAGACTCAACTATTTCTGAGCTACACTGCCATAAAGCCAAGTGGAGTTTATATCACTCTTGGGATGAGCAGAAAGAAAAGTTAAGRTTTTGTTTTCAGTCCATCTTTGAACTCCCAAAGTTCCTGCTGTTTTTCATAATAAGAAAATCCAACAAGTGATCTCATGTGACGAACTGAATGATAGACCAGATGTTCAATTGGAAATATCTCCTTGAACRTGACTAAAGAAAGGTAAAAATTCTTGCCATCTAAAGCAAAATAATACAACCTTACACTGTGACTACTGTGTTTACAGTGTAGTATTACTAAATACTTCAGGCGTTTATCCATGTCTTTGATGTTCAAATTGCCCTAATGTATACGACACTTGATTAAAAAAAATGAAGTTGATGATTTGAGCATCTTTGTGCCTCATTGTATAATACTGGGTAACTGAGATGAACCATCGACACTGGGTTTGACGAGTAACTCTAAAAGTCAGAAAGTGAAATTTATGGCTGCGCACAGACGCTCACCCTGCAGTGAATAACGACCACGTGTAGAGGGTCAGCATTGAGCCAGCTCTCCATGGCCTTGCAGATGGTGCAGATCTTATCCAGAGGAGGAGCGTGCAGATCTGGCCAACCTGTGTCCAGAGTCTACAAAACATTGTCGTCAACACATAACACTATCTATTTATCATGCTTTCTGCCWATGCATGGGTGACAATAGCCTGAAAGGAAGAGCTGCTTAAAGATGCAAACCAGTACATAATAAACTTCCAAAAACAACAACAAAAAAAAAAATCCAGTCTAAACTTACCTTTGGGTTCATTTTAGAGAGGTCATGTCTTTTCTCTGACARGTTAATGATCTAAAGAAAACATAACAGAACACAGTGACTTCTAACGGCCTATCTACTGTTTACTGCTTAGCATGAGCTGAAAAACATTCACAAATCTATCCTTTTTGTCAATACCCAATAGAAGTCCATTACAGTWTGCGGTGATACCAAGAGCGCTTTGGTGTCAGCACATTGTAAGGGGAGACAGGGCGAATCAGCACTGACCAGGTAATTATCTGCATGCTTGGACTTGAGCATCCGCGTGACATCCTTTAGGTTGTGCGAATAGATCTCTTCGGAGCAACCCCGGGGGAAGGAGACAGCAATGATCCGCTCTGTGATGTACGTGAGGTCCAGCTCATATCCCTCGTCCATGGTGAAAGGTTTCTTGTAAAAGGAGAAAAAACAAACCAAAACAAAAGTCATGTCACAGCAGATGTACAGACAGATAAGGGCATTCCGTGTTATTACACCATTGCCRTGTTAGGCAGGTGACTTTACTTGAGTCAATATTTGATGGTCAAAGTCCTCAGCTTTAGTCACTGTGTCCAAGCTTTCCACAGATATCTTTAGAGAGTGACTTCAGCTTGAGATTGTGAGATAGAGAACGTCTTGTTTGCACAGCAATAGCTAGCAGAATGTGTCACAAGTACAGTACTGGTTGAAACTAAGCAGAGACATTTTTAGAACATGACTGATGATTGCTACATATCTGTACTGTGAAAAAATAACTGCAATCAAAGATTTGACCCCAACAATCTGATTAACACAGACAGTTGGTCATTTCAAAGATGACAAAGGAAGACAAAAAAACAGACAAGTTTCAGTTGAAACCAGTTGTTTTACATCCCAGTGTGACAGGGTGCCTCTGTTATCTCATAGACATGAATTTTCTGTCTACATCTGCCGCCCCATCACACCCCACAGACACATATTTAACTCTCTTATCTGGTCATCCCTATACAGCTTCAGTRTTTATCAACTAGAGAAGTTATTGTTCAGTCAGAAAATCAGGATTAGAGCAATAAMCCRAACTAAACAATCAGAACTTTAAGRCAAATTCTAAAAACGTATGTCTAAAGTGTGCAATATTCTGTTTGAAAACCTTGGATCCTCACATTATTATGGGAGTATGGTGGCARCTACAGCCTATTCATACCTTTTAAAATACAAATCATAGATTGAGCATTCCCTAGCTAACCCTAACCCTAGTTTTATCCAAGAACAACTCATTAAAAAAACTAATCAAAAGCAGCTTAAGGATATTACAAGGATATCCAAACTTTTCAAACCCCAATCCAATTGAGCATTTGTGGTAAGGCACTAAATCACAGTCTCCTTCAGCAACTCACAGGCACCAAATAATTTACCCTCACAAGTCACCTCAAAAAGTCAGGGGTTCAGTCCTCAACAGGTTAGAGCTGTTTTGGTGGCAGAAACCAAACCAATACTCAGGAGATGCTTGCAAATGTGGTTAACTGTTCTATAGTCTTGGACAAACTTTAAAATACTCWTTTGTATTACTGTTTAGGAATTAATTTTTTTACTCAGACCCGCTAAAACCCGTTTCTAAGATATCGAGTGACCCAGACGGTTTACTGTAATTAAATGATCTACAGTCACGATTGTAGCYGTCAGTTGAGTCTGAGAGGGTTCCAAAGTACAGTTCATCACTTTGAAAGGGGTGTGGTGAGGGAAATAAATGAGGTACAGTGTAGCCATCGCTTAACCCAAACCTCAGAGTGGAATGAAACAGGCCAAGTGCAGATGTCATCTCCGTGGGAAACTGGGCTGTGTTTTTAAGAGTATGTTCTGAGGGAGGTGAATGAAGCCAGGGGCAGAGCCTCAAGGGATCAAAAGTTTGATTTAGTCAATAACCTGTAAGGATTCTAATAAGAAACCATCAACTTTTGGGACTTAGCACACGGTTCATGCAACACTCATTCTCTTATTGATGYAAAAATACCAATTTCTTTTGTAAGACGTAAAAATACAGAAGTGCCCCTGGGCAGACACTGAACCCCCACTGCCTCTGCTGTGTGTCCCATCAGTGTATGACTGTGTTACCATTCAGCTGACTACTGAAAGTGTTTATTTGTTGGTCTGGTCTTACAYTTTCCTGTTTTTAGAATAAAAACTGAGAATAAATGTTTGGTTATTATTGTTAAAAAAACTTACAAATAAGCATAATTTAATATCATATCTTTCATTTCACATTTTATTGGAGTAAGAATCCCAACCTTTGCACAGCATGTGGAAAGTGATCAGCAACTGCAGCTGATAAATGTGTAACACCTTTACCCAACAGTTAAACAGCATTGTAAATAAAATAATAAAATATTTAATTGGCTAAAGACTATTTTATTGTTATTAGGATGAATTATTTCTTAGATTGCTACCTTTAAATTGAACTTAGCCAAGTGCTTCCAGGAAATAAGCCAACAATGACTAATTTTAAAGACATTTATGTTATGATTCTGTCTCTGTCTGTCTGCTCTTGACCCAGTTCTTGCTCCTGTCTGCCT